ATCTCCCCAAAACCCCAAAACCCCTTGGTTTAAAATTATGGCCAATAAGAGATAAGAATTAAATAAAAATATAGAATGCAGGCTGCTCAGTATCATCCATAAAATTTAATGCACAATTAAATGCCTCAAATGCATCATCAAATACCTCCAAATTAGTAGTAGCATTATTAGCCAATGATAAGATAAGATTAAATGATGGGGGAACTTGTGAGTTCCTTTATGAAGATTAATTGCCACAAGATATCTAAATTTTTCTTAGATCTGCACTATATTGCAGAGAATTATATAAGAGCCGAACAACACGAGCAAGCAATGATGCAATAATAGTAAGTATAAAACTCGCCATTTCCATAACATCATATGCAACCTCCTCCTGGTTAATACGGACCTCCAATGTAGCCATAAATTCACCAGCATGAACCTTTGCCTCCTTTTCCTAATTATCCTCCACCAACTCCTTCTCATAATTAACAAATAGCTCCACCAATATAGATAAAGCAGTAGATTTATGGAGCCCCTAGTATTGGACCTTAAAATAATTTGATGACACCTAACCCTCATCAATAAATTGGGTTGAATCAAGAAGAATACAATCACAATTCCCCACATTTCAATCCTCAACCAGCACATTAGAATCCCCTTAATTTCAATATAAATCCAAACCAATTAGCCGAGGTAGAAAAATAAATAAAATCTCCAATATCTAATAATAACAATATTAACAATGGATAATAATAAAATCCTCCTCACTAAAATAACAATTCTAGCAGTAAAAAAAAGAGAGACAAACTAAAGCCAGACAATGAAAAAAAGCCAATGACTCCATACTTTCTCTTTCATTTATAAATGAGTAGGGAATTGAAAACCAAACACAAAGACTTAAAGTAAGCAGAAATGGGAAAAGTAATATCTGAGCTTTGGAAAAATTTGAGAGACTTTGAGAAAGAAGCATGGAGACAATCTGCAGTCAAGAGAGCAGAAGAACTTGGATAATCAGTAAACTATGAGTACTTGAAAACTGTGGATTGTAGTTATAAGAAAAAACCAAAAAGTGGAATGAACAACATTGTGGGCAATAGATAAGAAATAAATGAAAATCCAGAGTTGTAATAATCAAACTCTGCTATCAGTGAAGATAATAATTGATGAGAATTAGAATTTAAATTAAATTAAAAATGATTTGTAAACTCGAAATCTATAACTTTCTAATGTATATAATACTCCATGGGGTTTTGGGGTTTTGGGG